TTGTCGGTCCCGGCCAAAGTATCTACGTATCCGTGTATCTGCAAGTTGCAATCTTGCTGCCAGGCAAAAGTTGCCAACCAGCCACTCATTTGATATTGAAAGTGAAAGAGCATATTTAAATACGTAAACTATGGTGGGGTGGGGGAGGGGGGTCCATGTGTGGGGTCCCTGCATTCAGCTTTACATGCTAGCTTAATTTGTGTTGACAACATTGCCAGCCATAGAAGCGCGCTTTGTAAATTTTCAAGATTTGGGTTAGAGATATTTACACGAGTGTGTAGGCAAGCACGGGCACACACACAAACACTTCTTTTGAAAAGAGGTGGAGAGAAAAGATAACCCTGATATAACCAGAGCTGCACTTTACCTCCACCATATATCAATCTCGGCTTGGTCCTTTCGCCACTTAGAGGTCATTGCATCATCAAAGTTTGTTTGGTCACTCTTAATGGCCCAGTTCTGCCCTTTCGCATTTTGTGGAGCAGTCCAGTTGTCCCCGAGCAATTGACTTTGAAGTCGACATACTTGAAGGGATTTCAATTAGGAAAAGTAAAGCATACTGAAGGTGTTCTCGAATTGACAAGTACGCTTATGTTACACGGAAAAAAACAACGAAGTAAATAGGATTAATCGATAGACTTCTGGATGTGACCTGCAATGCTATTCAATTGTCATTCACTTTGTATTATCTTTAGAAAATCAGAATCCTCTTTATCAGAAAACGACTGAAATTGAATTTAGCACAAAGAATCTGAAACTCAATTAAACTTATACATTAATAATCCGACAAACTTTCATATATTCGAAATATACTTAAAATTGAACAAGACAAATGTTAGAACTGAACGCCAACCTCTTAAAACTTCTAGACTAGCTTGAAACTAAAATAAAATGTTATACAAAAACTGTTTAAGATGTTTAAGTATTAACTCTACTTTCTCTGTAAAACAAAGGCAATTCCATTTAAAATTCTCAACGCCGCCAGGCAGCGCGTCTTAAAATCGCCCGGAAAACGCGTGCTTCGACTTACAAAACCAGAGCAAACCACACAAACACAAGATGACTTGGTGAAGTTTTGCAACCTTTTGGCTAAATACAAGCGACACGGCACCACCACTCAGTCCCCTCATTAATTTTTGAGCAGCTTAGGCTGGCCCGAAAAGTTGCCAAACTTAAGATAAATGCCGAAAAGGCTCGGACCTGGTCCAAAGTCGCATCCTTCACTGGGTTAACTTGTCATCGCGGTAATCAATAATTCAGCTGCCACCTCGCAGACAATAAATTCAATTAAAAGCGCCCAAAGGTGGCCCCTGTGCAATTGGCAATCGGCAAGTGACAAATGGCAAACTAAAAGCAAAAACAACCCGCTAATCCCTCTTTGATTGCTCAGCCCGAGCACGTAATTTCAATTTGAGCCCCGGACCCTGTTCGTTTTGTTTTGTTTTTTCAACGCCCCGGCAATGATTTCAGTACACAACGAGCCGGGCCAGGCGGTTGGTAATTTTATTTGCAGCTTTTTGCATTAAGTGCACACAATGTTTATTAATTATTCAGGGGCATAACATGGAACAAGGCAAAGGCCCCTCCTCCTCCTTTCCGGACATCCCCGTACCCGTATCCGGATTCGGACCCGAGTCCAGTTCGTACTGCTCCTCGGGCAACCATTGCATAATTAAATATTATGATTGTTATTTTCACTTGCTGCCTGTCGGATTGCTGTTATCTTAGCGTTTACCACCCGCTCTCTTCCCATGGAGCTCTGCATACTTAATAACAATTGCCGGACTCTCAGCCGGAATTCAAGGTGGAGCATTAGCCCCATGGGCATGTTTGCCAAGCTGTTTATATCTTCTGGCGCCGCTCACCTGAATTTGTTGGCTCTAATCTGAGCAGCTTCCTTGGCATTTTGGCACTTGCAAGTGCCCATTAAAATAAAATCCACAGAGAGTGATTTTAAATCAGCACGACTATTTACAGAGGTTTTAAAACTATAGCTACGAAGAACCAAAATCGCTTTATTTATTGGTTATAAAGGTTTTATTCTTACTTTACAAGATTATTAGTCTCAAAGAATTACAAAGGGTTAATCGTCTTTTTTCAGATAAGACCTTTTTTCAAACAATATATACCTCAAATTACTGTGTACTTAAAATTAATTTAAATAATTGTTATTATTATTAATCGTATGCCCTAATATTCTGAATAAAAAATTGTTTTGGAGATATCATATGCAAATATGGTTATTAGCATTTCAGAAACACTAGATTGTAGTTATTCAAACAAATTTTATAATATTAAAACATTTTCAAACATAAAGTAAATAAACTTTTCATGAGACTCAGTCTCTAATAGTTTTATATGAATAAGAGTTAAAATTATTATTTCATACCCCCATTTAGAAGCCACTTTTCGGAACAAGTTTCTCGTTCCGCGTTTGAGACCATTCAAATGTGTTGCTAAATTCGGCTGGCTTAATGTAATTACATGTTGCTTTGGTCCATTGCCCGAAGAGTTGCTTTGGCGGTACCTCTTTCCTCGTTGGCCCAATGAAATTTGCATGTTTTTGCCCACTTTCGGGCACTAGACAACTTTTCCTGCCGGCATTTACAGCTGCAACAGCTGAAAATAAATATTTAAACAATAACAGCAACTTTGCATGTTCTACAATTGTTGCAACAACAATGGAAAAAGGAAAAGGGGAGCAGACGCAGCGAAGTCCTGCAGTCCAAAATAATAAAGTTTTACGGCTGAAAATTACTCAATTCCCGTTGCCCGAAAAAGTTAACTTAATTTTTCGTAGTTGCCTTTTGTGCGAAAACTTTGCAAAGAGGTGAGGCAGCATCAACAACGGCAGCAACAACAACAACAGAGGAAAACGTTTTACAACACTTTAGCCGAGGAGTGGTGTGGTGGATGCTTTTTGGAACTCAGACTTCACCCCATTGATTGCACGTCGCTGAAAGCTGTGTTGTCCTTTTTTCCTCGTCACTGCATAAAATGCGTTTGCATTCCCTGGGAACGAGGACAGTGTTGGAAAGTGCCCTCGAAAGCAAGAAAAGAATAATAACGAACGCAAAAATAATTGAATTTTCGCATTCATTCGCGAGCTGCAATTACTTGGGGGAAAGAACTTTTCACTGCCTGTCCTGCCTGTTTTCGGGACTTGTTATTGTTTCTTCTGGTCTTGGTTCCTCCCCATAAATTGAGTCTTTGCCAGCTGTTTTTTTCCGTGATGCTATTGGAATTTCACGCAAGGATTGTCTGGGCTTGTCCATACTATTTATAACGGATAGATTCAAATCATCCCCATGCCAATGCCGTTCCCCAACTGCGGGCAATTCAAAACTCATTTCTATTTGGCGCCCCCGGGTGGACCGAGTGGAAATCAAATTAAAAGTCGCACCAATGACCAAAGCACTGACCTTGGGGGCACAGTCGACAGCCATCCACCTGGGCTCTGTTCTGGGGTAAAATGCTTGCACACGGTTCACTGGCTGCAAATCAAAATAGAATTTAAATCTCTTTGAGAGACCGAGTGAATGGGATGCTGGGTAAGAGGCTCATGCAAAAATCATTTTTGGCTGTCAAATAAATTACACTTTTTCCACGGGGAGAGTGAGGAAGGGAAAGGGGGCTGAGCCGGGCTCAACAAAATGGCGTTGAACGCATAATTTGGCAGGCAGACACAACCCTGCCGCACTTGCTTTAATTGATTTTACAGTTAGTCGCCCAGGTCCCTTGCAAAAAGGGGTTTTTCTGGTTATAAATTTGCGAGCTTCGAACGAGTTCTTCGATTTGTTTTTGTTTGTGTCTGAACGAACGCCCGCCCGCCCAACACTCATTTGCACTTAACACTTTCGACCATTTTGTTTGCCAGGGTCGCCATTGCGGCACAAGTTTGTGTGGCAACCCTCCTTCCATTCCATAAGTCTCTGTCGCAGGGCGATGATGAGGAAAATTGCAAAATTTCGAGCCTCTCGATAATTAAATATGCTTTGCAACAACAGAAGAGCTGGCCAAAAAGAGAAAAACAGGGCTGAAAGGGTTGGCACATGTGTCTAATTGGATTGTCGCAGTGTTGGCCAACATCGTCAGGCCTTAGCATCTCACCGAGATAATCCCCGACCCTGGGCACACGGCCCACATAAGTTCCACAAAATTCGCTTTTGCGCAAACTTTTTAATGAAGTTTCGGCGTTCTTGGGCCAACTTTTCCTTTGGCCCCACGACATGTTGTCCTCTATTTATTTTGATTTTTCCCACTCCACGCCAAGCATTTACTTATCCAGAGGTGCAGATCGTCCTTGCGGGGTTGTGTTGGGTGGCTGGGCTTCTGTGTGGCAGTAAGTGGCACATTTGTCGGGTGATACGCTTTTAATTAGTGGCGATGGCAATGCTGATGGCAATGGCGGTGGCGGTAACGGTGGCCGTAAACTTTTCGCCCTGGCTTTAATTGCAGCTGATGCGAGGCGAAACAAACTTGGCATCGGAGTACAGTTGCGCCGGAATTGGCTTAGCATGTGTGAAGTGCTACGTATAGGGCTTACAGAAGTTTGCTTAGGGAATCTCGGTGCGAAAAGTTCTCAGGAGCTGGCTAACGAGGCAAAGCTGCGCCAACTGGGGGAGCAAAATCAGAAAAGTTTTCAAGAGCGATTCGGCTGCACTAATCCTCCCCGTTTCCAATGGCCATGCTCATCGCAATAAAATCACACAAATTGATCAGTTTTTAGTTTTCTTAATGTTCCCCGACACCTTTCAGATTATATTTGTAGGCTATCAACATTCAATGAAAGTTATTGGGAGATATATTTACGCTCTTCGTGTCTCAAAATCATTATCTATTATTTTGTAGGCTTATCAAAATATGGCATGTTCGATAAACGACACATTTAAGCAGCTCACCTATTTGTCAGTTGAAAATAACCAGTTATAAGATTATTTATTAAGAGTAACCTTCAAGGAGAGCTATCTAAACCCCGACATTGTTTTTTTTATTTTCAGGCGCACCCACAGTAATGGCTCTCAATGCCACGCCCATCGCCTATCCGGGATCGCCCCTGCACCTCAATGTGGAGTTCTGTGCCAATCCGCCGGCTCATGCCGCCCGCTGGTTGCACGGCGATCGGGTCTTCACGCCCGGGAATCAGTATGGCACCACGGTGCTGGCCTACGCGGTGAAGGTGAGTGCTGGGAATAAGGGGTAATCCGAAAGGGAGATGTAAACGACTTTCCCCTCATTCGCAGGATCTGCCCACGCCCTTCTGCAAGGAGGCGCGACTGACCTACGTGAGCATGCACGAACGGGTGCCGAGGACCTTCTACTTCATAGTGTCCTCGCCGGGCGGTGTGGCCGAGGCGGTCTTCAATGTGAACTTCACCAAGCGCCATCGGCAGCTGTCCAATTCCATTGATGACGACGACGAGGAGGAGGAGCTCAATCGGCCGGAGCAGATCCACTTTCCCGTCTTCAATCTTGGCCCTGCCAATGAGTGTGGCGGGTGGGCGGTGGTCTTAGCACTGGTTTTAGTCCTGGCAATTAGAGACAGGCATTAGATTAAGGTCGGATCGTGTGAAAGTAGAAGATGAATGAATGATTTCTTTGGGAGTGACTGACGCGTTTATTACACCGAATGTTCTATGTAACCTAACCCCTATGGCTAAGCATACGTATGGATTTACCCAATTACTCGACATTACCAAGTGGACTATGCTACACAACTACTACTCTTTATAGCAATATGTATGTGTATCTGTAACCAATTTAGCCAAACATCAAAATTGCCCTAGGCTAAGATCCCAGGCCCATCAGTATCCTTAAAAGAAGAACACTTTTCTAGACCCCCTCCCCTCAAAAGAGGAATCGACTCTTTAACCCTAAGCTATTCGAATATTTTTACTGTAACCCCTAGCTGTAACTGTATCGGTAACTGTAACCTTATCGCTGTATGTCAATGTGTATGAGTGTGCGCTTAACTTAAATGCCAAAGCCAGAAATCGTAAGGACAAGTTTACAATTCATTGGGAAAACATTGTTAAACGTTGATTATTACGAATACTTTATGTTCCTTTTCGATGACGAAGAGAGATCGAGAAAGTGACTGATTTTGTTAAATATTTTGAAAATGTTTAGTACTAAAAGCACAAGGAGAAGAACTTATAGTTTAATATTGTAAATGAAGAAGCTAAAGACGAAGTAATACTTACCAGGCACGAACAAATTCCTTCCATTTGAAAAATTTGCCCCAGAGCAAAGAAACTGTAAGATATTTTGGGAAATGAAATTAAGCGAATGATCAAAAGAGTTTTAACCTAAACAAATTGGGTTCTATTAAGCATTAAATCGCACCTTTTAGTTTCTTATGATTTTCCAATCGTTTGAAAGGACCAAAAACTAATCGTTTTCATTTACTACGAATATTTTTATAACACAAAAGTAAACATAATGATAGCCCCAAACACAAATGAGAGACCCTCCACATAAGCGATAATTGTATATAAATGTTCAAGTAGAGAATTGCTCAACCAACGGGGAAAACCAAAAATCTAAAATATATGATATAAAAAGTGTTAAATGTTGTTTGAAAGCAAAAGTAAAGCGATTAAAATATCAAATGTAGCGGTTCCACGAGTAAATTAAACAGTAATGTATGTAATATAACAGATCGCAGCCGCATAACTGTTCGATTACTAGCTATTGTAAAATATTTCAGTTTAAAGATCACCAAAGAGCCAGCGATATCGTTTGCTTTCCAAAGAATTTTTTGTACAAAGCCCAAGCTTTTGTAATTTATTTCTTAGACGATCTAAGCTTCAGATTATTCTATATCCTATGCGCAATAAATATAAATAATATATATCTGTAGGTTAAGCGATCAGTGTAAAAACCAGAAATACTTAGAAGAACCTAACGCCAATTTAAGCCACAGCAAAAATTACATTTGCAGAGTTCCAAGAATTCTGGCAACAGCGGAGAGCATTGTAAAATGATAAGTTTAAATTGAGATTTAATTAATAATTAATACGAATATACATATATGGTGGAGTATGCCCGCAAGCATATCTGTATGTGTGTACCCTATGTATAGTTCAGTTTAGTGATTTCGCTCCTTGGGTTTATTGTCAGCAAAAATTTGCGAATTGTATGAACAAAATAAGCAAACAAACACGTCGTCATGTTAACTAACAAATAAATTACTATACAAGTGAATGGTCAGTGCGTACTGTATTTATGATTCATTGTGTTGGTAATATTTACAAAATATTATTTATAACGAAGCCAACAAACAACAAACAAACAAACATATATTACTAAAGAAAATATTAGCTCCTAAGTGCAACACAAACCGAATGTGGCAAATTAATTTTAAACCAATGAGTAATTACGATACGAGAGACAGAATGTTCATCTGTAGTGCAAAATGTTTGGGAGAAGGGACACTAATAACCCATAAAATTACGAATACAAATACAAATACAACAATACGTGTTACAATAAGCAGAAACGGTTTACATATATAAGTCATAGGCCCAAGAGAAATGTAAGCAACCACCACCAACAACCACAACAAAAACACTTTTAGCCGTAAACGAAGCCTCGGAGATGGATATTGAGATGGAGATTGAGATGGCCAGAAAGTTCAAGCGAGGAGCAGAGCAGGCCGGATAAAACATAAAGCCCACAACAGAATCAAAATCTAACTCTTAAGCGACCCCGTACACTGCCCGGCAATGCAATAACTCCAAATTCTTGACTGGGGTCAGGCCACCCGGCCAGCAAACTGTTACATTTAAGCCAAAGTCGCAGGGCAAGTGGCCAGGTCAGGGCAGCCTGCCGAGGAAATTTACAAGTTTAAGTGACAAAGCAACAAAACAAAATAGCCAATTTAGCATAAAGTAAAACACAAGCCGAGAAGAATGCAAATAAAAATGCAGATAAAAATGAAAGGCGAGGGGAGCGGCGAAAAGAAAACCAAACAAAACACCACACAACACAACACAGAGAAATGAAAATGAACATGGAATAAAATTTAAAAGCAGAGAAATGCAACAAAAAGAAAATGGCTTTAACTTGGTGGGCTGTGGGTGGTGTGTAATGGGTTTTGGGTGTTGGGTGGTCCAATCCAAGGAACGTAAAAGCGGGAAAACTCCGCAGAGGAAACGCCAGCTTACATTCACACAATCAATCAGCAGGCAGAAACGCTCGTCATTAAGCAGCAATGGTAAAAACAGTTAAGGAAAAACAGCCAACAGTCGACGATGCAGATACTCTTGAGTGGGTAATCAGTAAAAAATGTAAATAACTTTACTCATTTCTTTTATGGCCATAACACTCTCCGTTTTAAGTAAACAACAAATAGGTGGGTATCGCTAGTTTAAGTTTAAGCTGTTAAAAAAAGTAGGAAGTCATTCAGTACTCTAGACCAACAATTAGCAGTAGATGTTATGTGTTAGCTAATGACGGATTATTACAATTTTTGAAACTACTTCATAGGTTAATTTCCGCTATAATAAAGTTGAAAGTCGTATAGCTTTTTTATTATCATTGGAACATTTTTCGGCCAGTGGAGTATAAGTTTATATTGCTTATTTTTCTAGTCACTGAAAAACAAATTGTATACCCTTGCAGAGGGTATTATTTAATAGCAGAAAATGAGACCTTATAGGCATGTTTATACACTCCTACAAATTTACAGCAAAAATCATATTAAAATAAAAAAATTTCTTTAAAACGGATCCAAAGGAGATTTTTGATCAAAAACGCTGGAAAATAAGGTAAAATTTTGAATGTTATACCTTGTTGAATTATTTATAAAATTTGCAATCGATTGGCATTCTCAGCTCTAAAATTTATCTTTAAACCAAATTTCGCAAAAAAATCAAAAATGCTGTAAACGGTAATAAGACAAAGTTTTCCAAATTAACTAGGAATTGATGGTTTAGGGCATCAGCTACACAAAGCAGTAATTCTTTTGTCTGTGCGTCGTATTCCGGGCTATTAAGAATAAAATATGTTCTTGATTGACATCAATAGGCGAGTTAAAGCCATGTCCGTTTTAACTTCTGCCCGTCTCAATATCTGTCCGTCTGTATCATACATCATAAATAAGCTATAGCTTTCATATATAAACTATAGCTTTCATATACAAAAACGAATTTTATCTCTTGTTCCCGTTTTCATTAATTTGGAATGCAGAATAAAAGTATATGCCTTTGTAAGAACAGTTTCAATTGGAGTTTCCTTTAAAGGCCCTCCGTTAAAAAGGAGTCATTTTTGAGCCCAAAGAACTCTTTCCATTCCACCCAATGTTTGGTGGAATGGAAAGTGTTCTTCCCCTCTGAAGTCCCCGAAGCAATCGGCGTGCTGAACCCCGACCTGAACGGAATGCCAATGACGCTTTCTGCCACGGGTGGCATGCAGTTCCAGTTGCAGTGGCAGTTGCAGTTGCATCAATGCCAATATCAATCAGGGGCCAACGAAAGGGAAAGGCCAGTCGAATGCAGCTTTTGGGTGACCGCAGCAGGCTCCGCTCGTTTTGTGTATGGGAGATTCCGGTTTATGGTTTGGATCGGTTTGGTGCATTGGCCCAATCCCAATCGCAATCCCAATCCCAGAGTTGCGTTGTCAACACCAGCAGCCGAATCAGCAGCAGCCAGCGCGGCTCTTGTTTATTAGTTGGAAATCAAAAGTCCATCGACACCGCAGGATTGTAATGGCCACACTGTGGACCTGGCTGCTACACTTTTTGGCCTAAAGAGTCGGGCAACCTGTTTGCCACACTATATGTGCCCGCTACAATCATCGATAACCAGGCCGGTTTCTGGCGCTAATGACAGTGAAATGCCTCCGATCTGCCGAGGCGCCAGCGAGATTACAGCAAGCGGGGGCGTACGGTACAGTAAGGCTAATGGTTGCATTAACTCGCGGCCACCGAAAGAAAGTACAAAATTATTTGCCTTGAAATATATGCTTAAGGCAAACTAATTTTCCTTAAATATAAACATCTTTTAATGTTTTTATTTAAAAAATGTTTTAGTAAAGAATACAGAAATTAACTATGAAATATTGAATGGGGGTAAAATATTTTACATAACAATTTACAAAGATCTGTAATTACTTTTGACCAATATAAAATACCAGATGAAGAAAGTACGATTGGGCACAAAAATTCAGATATTCAATTGTTGATTTTATAAATAATTAATGCTTGTATGCCCCAAAGTGACTTAATAACTGATATAAAAGAAAGAAACTTATACTTATCAGTCCATCAAAATAAAAAGAAATCGTATCAAAAACCGAAATTTAATAACAGATTTCTTGGGCAATTAAAACAATTTCTTTTTTGATAGTAAATATGGTACATTTTTAATTTTAGAGAAGGTAAGCTAATATTGTTTTAGAGCATTCCGAAGGATATTACAATGCCAGTGCCAGTTTCTTCTATTATACCTATTTATTGATGGTGGTTTCTCTGCCATCATTCTTGCAGTGTAATTTATCAATCAAAATTCCTGAACAGTGATCGAGTGGAATAAACTTGTAATGTCGCAGAGGCGATTTTAGTGATGGTTACGGTGACTTTGCAGCTAATGTCGACGCACGCGCCGCAGCGAAAGGTGCATCGACTAATGGGTATTCCCCTTGCCACATCGAACCCCCCTCCCTCTATCTGGACCAGCCTGCAGATATCCGCAATCGCCAATTGGCATTACTGTGCGCATTTCGTTTTAATTGTTGCTTTGGCCAAAGTCAAATACGAACACCCAAAACCGGCTGCAAAAACTGGCAATTGGAGCCCCCACTCCCCTCGGATCGGCAACCACACACATACATATTTCAATTTGCTTATGATAGGCGCCATCGTTGAGGAACCAAAATCCAGAGCCTGGCTCTAACCATAAAATTGCGGGCTTATTGCAGTCGCAAAATGGGCGAGTCGACTGATAACTTTATGTATGGACAGATGTGCATGTGGTCTGATAAGTGGGTTTTACCTGCGATTGTGCGAGGATTGTGTTTTCCACTCGTAATGCAGCTACGGCTATCGCAAGTGGTTGGAGAAATCTACTAATTGGGCTTTAGGGGAAGTGCAGGTGGCTTTCGAGTTGCACAATGGAGAGCAGCTACCCAACACCTGCAATCTATAGTTTTCGCCTTGGGATGATTTAACTTTTTTAAAGTCCACAAAGAAATGGATGAAATACTCCTCCACTCGGCTATCGGTTAATTGGCAGTCATATTCCCTTTGCCATTCGGGCCAAGTTATCGCTGACGACTTTAAACGCTTAAAACGCTGACAATTAAAATCGTTTTCATTGCACATCGTTGGGCGCCAATAATTCCCCCCAATACGCTTGCATGAAATTTCACAGTTCAATTAATGCATTTTAATTTTAACTTTATTTTCCAATTTACTTCACACAGTTAAAATGGAGGCAAGGAAGGCCAACAACGCGGCCAAAAGCGTGGAAAAAATATGAAAGAAAAAAACAGATCAGCCTGAAAATTGTTAACGCAAAATTAAAAATTGTTTTTGATTGATTGTTGCATGAAATTGGCTTTTGGTCTGAGGCCCCACCGCACCGATTGGTCCCATTGATTGTAATTACCTTTTTTCCTCTCTTACTTGTATATTTCATTTGCCCTGCGCACTTAATTAGCCGGCTGCCACGCCCCCTTTCCCCCACCCCGCCGCCTTATCCGGCTGACTGCGCTTTTCGGGGAAGTACAATAAGTAAATATGAGCGATGACGGCAACGAAATTAAGTGAATTGCTTTTAATAGATTTTTCCGCAATTTCAGTGATTTCCTTTTTTTTTATTGTCCCATTTCGTTTGCGGTCAAGGAAGGAATCCCAATGATTTCCTTTGCCAATTTTTCGACGATTTTGTAATGCTGCAGCGACAAGTTTTTCGAAGCGGAAGGAAGTCGACTTCAGGCGACTTCTGTTACACTTTTACCAAATGCTGATCCGGCGAAAATTAGCCAAGTAAGTTGCTGGTCACGGCAATTTATGGCTCGCATTTCCTCGGCGTTCAGTTGGCAATTTTTTGGATTTCCTCGGCCAGGCCCACCCCGCTTATGCAATCTCTCTCCCTGGCCTTTCATCATAATTGTCTCTGAGGTTTGGTGCGACTGGTGCGGAAAACACCGGAGGAAATGCCAACCGAAAAAGCGATCTCGGCCCCAGTTCCAGTTTCCATTTTCCATTCCAGCGTCATTGGTGAAAGTCAGATGTGTGTGCATGAGGCATGCAACATGTCTTTAATGAGATGCAGGCAGATAAAGAAGCTAACCGATTATGGATGGCATAAATCACACCTAAATGATCGCTCGATCTATATCTGTGGGTAAATGGGGGTATTAGCTTCGGTAGAACACCCACTTTCCCCACTTTTGGCTTTGACAGATATTATGTGGTTGAACTCGTTTCGTTAATATTCCAAAAAACTCCTTGTAACTGAATTGACAATTTATTAAGAAATATTTATTTGTCTTACCATATTTCTTCACTTTTGAATTAACGTCTTATCTTAATGGGCTAAACCCACACAAAATGATTTTGATGCACTTTCATTTATTTAATTATATCAACTTATTATTAAATTAAGCCTATACCATAACTATTCATGTAGAATACATTTCTTGTTTTTCTGGATTTAAAGAAATTTAAAGTTAAATAAATGGTCTCCAATTTATTTCTTCTTTTTAACAAAAAATATAAAATTGAATTTAATGTAAAATACCAATCAATTAACTAACATTTATCTTTATACTTAGTTGCAATGCGAAAATATGCATATTGTTACAATGTTTTTCAATTTAAATTCATGAAATACCTCAATTCAAATAATTTCCTCATAAAAATAAATATCTTCAAAGCGCCGGGAAAAAAAGGAAAACGATATCATTAAATATGCAATAAATAAAATGAATTACCAAAGCATAAATAAAAAAGTCGCATTTTAATAAATCAGACAGAAATAAAAAACAAGTGCACCACGGCTCCACCGTCGCCCGCAAAACCGCATCCACATTAATCAATCAGCCGAAAACGTCAAACGCTCCACAGCAACAGCAGTCTCATTAAAAATGAATGAAAATGCCTGGAAAAGCGGAGGAAAAGCGTATGAAAACAATGCGTTCGAAGGTGATCGAACCGACAGGTGTAAAATGAATGCGATAATTGCATCAGGTGTTATGGGGCAAGCAAATGCGGAAAGAAATGGATGTCAACGAGCGGGATAGCTTTAAACAGGTGGCAAAGGGCGTTTAGGCCATGACAAGGGCTTTCACAGCGCATTTGGCCATATGCCTCGCGAACTTGCAACCAAAACCAGTTATAAAGTTTTCCCGCGCCTGCTTTTTTTTTTTAATTTTTGGCAGGGTCAATGCTGCCGCCGTAGAAAGCCATAAAAACAAAATTGTCACTGCCCCAAAGGAGCGACAGAGACAGCGGCGCTTGCGCAATCGCCGGCTGGACAAGTTTTGTGCTACACTTTAAGGATCGCAGCAGCAACAGCAGCAACAGCAGCAACAGCAACAGCAGCAACATCGGCGACGACAGCAACTTGCAACCCACGACGATGAAAAGAAAACGAAATGCTCAGTGCCCGACGGTTTCACTTTCATTCGCAACGCGCACGCGCAGCTGGCAGGGTCGCAAAAAGAGCACCTGCACCTGAATCAAACATTCGCCAAAATACACCTTTGTGCCATCCGCAGCTCAGAGAATTACAATTGTTTTAATCGAATAGAAAAGTGATTATAAGTGCATTTTAATTGGACGGCAATCAATATAAATAATTGAGTGTTTTCATTTCATTCCGCTGCATCCCAACCAAACCTACGCCACAATAAATATAAAAAAAACCCCGTCGCGCAATACTTAATGGATGCAGGTAAATGAAAAATCAAGCGAAACATTTTAAATGCCCATTAAAATGTGAAAATTAATATATCGTCTGTGGGCGTAAAGGAAAAAACAATTTGAATGTGCAAATCGAGTTAGAAACGGTTGAAATTGGTTTGTGTTTCCATTTGCAATCAAGGACTTTAGCAGAGAAATTCAATGATTTTACGTCAAGGCAATAATAAATTCCTGTCTGTAAAACAGCAATCAAAAAGGACTTAACCAAACATGCATACGAAATGTCTGCCATTTAATAGCATAGTTCGTATCATTATCCATACCCAATTAAAGCCACAATTTCCCTACAGAAAGCTGCACTTTCTTGTGTTATTTGGCCAACAAGATAGCCAAGCAAACAGGGTACCTGCTCAAAAGTGCCCCGGGCCACTTAGCCATGAATATTGCAGGTGAAATATGTTTTGGCATGCATATTTAATGCCTATCAAAATACAGGCAGCGGCCAAACTATGTGAAAACCCGTACGAACCATTTTAAACGCCATCAATTTCAATTTTCCAAATTAAATGCGTGGTGCAGGCGGGCTGTGGTGGCGTGTTGTGGGGGGCGGGGCTAAAGGGGGGTTAATTAATAATTCATTACGTTGCCAGTAGCAATGACATAAGCCCCAAGCAAACGCAGCCCCAAGTTCAACAACTTGCCAAGAAAAGCGAATAACGTTTTTAGGGAAAATCTCTCGGCGAAAGAGAAAGAAAAGCGCCAAAGTGCCAAGGCAGCCACTTAGGAAAAATCATCATCCAGCGACGTATCGGTTAAAATCAAACAGCCCGACAAGTGAGTGGCTATGGTAGTCAGGAGTGGAGTGGAGTGGCGAGGAGTGGAGTGGCATTGGATTGGAGTGGAGTGGCTCGCAGGCTAGTGGATGGCCTTTGGAGCGGGCCCAAACAGGCTTGACGACTCCTCCATTTGTCGCTTGGAATTCGTCGCGGTTATTCGGTGGGGTTATTCACACCAAAAGCCCAGCTAACTCTTTCTGCTTTTGGCCATTTCCGCAACAGCTCCATGCGGCCCCACCGCCACCAACGACATCTGCTAACGGCGGCAGCCACGCTCTGCTGTCTGTTGGCCATCATCGTCCGGCCGGTCCTCTCGGATGAGCCACCCTCACCCGCACCCACAACCGAGTCCACGGAGCCCCCCCAGAACTCCACGGAGCTGGCAGCCGATTCCCCGGGCGACAACGGACCCAAGGAGGTGAGTCCGAGTTCAGTGAAAGATTTTGACAGGCAATGAGCGTCGCTTTTGACAGCTTAATAAGCAGGCAGCCGGCCAACTCATCCGCGAGGTCATCGAAGGCACCAGCCTGGCCAGCGGACTGCAGGAGGACCCAGATCCGGAGAGGGAACTGGAGGCGTCAGCTACAGAGAAAGAAGACGAGTTCGTGGGGTAAGCCAAAGATCAAAGAGGAAAGTAAAGTGCGCTTTAAATTCCCTTTTTAAAAAGTATTGTTTAAGCATAAGCGTAAACTTAAAAATATTGAATCCAATAATATCTTACTAATAAATAACAACCGAAAGGAAATATGTATAGTACAGGAACAATAGCTACCGATTTATAATCAAGTTGACTACAAATTTTTAAGTTAATCGGATATAATAATATTTTTCGCATTTTTAACTCCGCAGTGAGGCTCTACAAATTCACTATATTAAAATCTCTAAAAAAAACTGAAAAATGTAATAATGTAAGTCCCTTGATTAGATTTCTGTTATACTAAAGTAAATTATACCCATGATCCGATTTTTGATTATTAAGTAAATAAATAATTTAATAATTCTCTTAAAAAAAAAATAAAATAAATAGTTACTTACCTAAATTTAAATGAGTGTATGATATATCTTAAGCTACGTATTAAAACAATTCCTAATGGATTCCCCTTGTTTCCAGAGTTCCAGGCTTTCTGCCCACAGTGCTGCCTCCGAGGGATTCGGACAGTCCCACCAACGGGCATGGCTACATCCAGTTTGAGATCAACGATGAGCTGCCGGTGGAGGTGGCCCGTCGCCAGAGGCCCATTCAGCAGACCGTGACTCGCTCGCGAACGGACACCGTCAACGAGGTGCTGTCCAATCTGTTCCCCAAGGGATTCTCCGACATTTTCCGCTTCAGTGGGAACACGGAGGCAGCCACATCCACCACGACGACCACAACCACCAATAAGGCGGTGGTTCGACCCACAGTGGTGGATGTGGTCAGCACCACCGAGGCGGCAACCACGGAGAAGCCATCGGAGGCTCCAGCCCCGAATGCCACCTACTACAGCTACCAGACCACCGTGACGAAGGAGTACCGACGGGAGTTGGGACCCGGACACACAGAGATCGTGGTGGAGCAGATCCGAGATCCTGGATTCCGGGACGGCAGCAACCACATTTCGCGCGATGAGCTCCTGCGGATCAACCGGGCTGCCGTGGCTGCTCCTGTCCTGCCCAGTGTTCTCCTCCAACCGGAGGGCGATGACAATGAGACACTGGTGGCGGCCGAAAGTGCTCCCATCGTGATCCTGGGCGAACACGAGGTGGAGCTGGAGGAGGGCCAGGAGATCGATGACAACCAGATTGCGGAGACGCGTCACGTGGGCAGAGAGGCGTACCAACAGCGATTGCCAGCTCCGGCCTTCAATGGCATCGAGAGCTATGCCAGCCAGAAGGGTCCTGGAAAGGATCAGGAGATCAATGTGCACATCGTGCATGATGAGACTCTTGGGAAGCCGCAGCAGGAGGAGGGAAAGGTAGGGATCTATTTAGGGTAATGGATATTCCAGCTTAAAATCTGTTATATTTCCAGGCACCTAAGGAGATGGCTCAGTCACCACAACTCGCCTTGGATCACTACCAGGCGCACAGTGAGCAGCGCTTCCAGCAGCATCATCCAAACCACGAGGCTCCTTCGCGCCAGTTCCTCAAGAGCTTCAATCCCATCGTCTCGGGCAGTGGCAACGGACCTCTTCCCAAGGGAAGCTTCCACTACGAGGTGCAGAGTCCTCCACAGCTGCCGAATCCGCGGCCGCCGAAGGAGGAGAACTACGCCGGACAGTTTGTGATTCCTGCTGCCCAGTTGGCCTACCAACAGGAGATCAGCCAGGTGCAGATTCCACAGGTGCAGAAGCAGCCGGAGCAGCAGGGGGAATCCCTACACACCAAGGCCATTTCCTCGCCATCGCCGGAATACTCCGGCTATGCAGGACCCACTCCCGTTTCCGCCACTCCCAATAGTCTGGTTTTCGTCACCCTGAACACGCCAACGCCTCCCCATTCCTCGCCAGCTCCTGCAGCGGCGCATGATGAGCCAGGTGTCCAGATCACCATCAATCACCCAGCTCCACACAGTTACGTGGCGGAGGCAGCTGCCGAACCCTCCCAGCAACACATCCAACATGCTCCCGCTCCCAAGAAGTCCACTCCCTACACCTTCGTCGAGGTGCAAAAGTCCGTGAACATCCACAACAAACTGATCACGGAGAAGGATGGACGTCTCGTGGAGCAGCACGAGACCATCTATCCACAGCCCTATCTGCAGAACCACCTGCCGCAGCCTGCTCCATCTGATCCGCCCAAGAACTATGCATCTCTGGCCAAGAATCCCATCCACGTGGAGTACGATAGTTCGCCCCAAGAGGTGGCCATCTCGCATGCAGCCATTCATTTGGACACGGATCACTCGGGACACTCTGCTCCTGGTCCCATTTATGCTCCTGTTCATCAGGAGCATCAGGTGCAACACCATGATAATCAGGTGCACCACCAAGATAATCAGGTGCACCACCAGGAGAATCATGTGCAACAGATTCATCAAGATCATCAGGTGCTCCATGAACCTCAGGTGGATCACGAACCTCAGTTTCATCTCGACCACATAGAACACCACCATGAGCACTCTCCTCCACAATCGTATCACGTGGAAAAAGCCGTGGACCACGACCACCATGTGAAACAGGTGGTGGAGAAGCACATACCCATTCCCTATGCAGTTCCACAACCTGTACCCGTTCCTGTCCACGTGGAGCACTACGTGGATCGTCCCTATCCCGTGGAGACGATTGTGGAGCACCCTGTTCCATATCCCGTGGAGAGGGTGGTGGAAAAGATCGTGGAGAAGCACATTCCAGTGGAAGTGGAGCGTATTGTGGAGAAGCCTGTGCATGTGGAGAAGATTGTGGAGAAGTTCGTGGATCGTCCGATGGCCATTCCGATTCATGTGCCCGTGGCCATACACATGCCCATGCCGCCGGGTCACTCCTCCCTGGCATTCGCCCACCATGGCCATCCCAATGCCCTGACTCCATGGGGACATTCCGTGGCCCAAATTCCGCCGAAGGTGCTGCAGAACTACTACACACGAATGCTGAAGAAGCTGCTGCCCCAACTGACGGCCAAGACACCAGCTGTCCAATCCCCCAAGGCGGTCAAGTTGAGCAAGCCGGTGGCAGCCATTAAACAACCATTGAAACCCGTGAGGGGAGAGGCGCCCAAGGTCGCCACCTTCAGTTTGGCGGACATGAAGTTCGACCTTCGCCCGCCGCCTCCGCCGCAGGGTTCGCCTTGGCTGCAGGGTGCCCGCTACATCTACAACACCCTGCCCGTCGACCTGGCCACCGCCGCCGCCTCCTCCACTCCCGTCCAGATGGTCAAGTCCTATGTGGGCCCAGTTCCAGCCACGAGCTCCTCCATTTCCGGTTCTGGGGATTCCCCGCTGACCAACGAGTTCGATGAGTTCCAGCGGTGGCGCAACGGACACTCCCTGAAACGCAGTCCCGACTTCGGACGCAATCTTCAACTGGAGTACGGATTCAAGCCCCCCTTGGTGCCCTCAATGGAAATCGACGACAAGGGGAACCCCCTCAAGCAGGCGGAACAATCGGAGACGCAGTGAAAGGATTATAGTGGAGTACAGCAAGGAGTGCGGAGACAAAAGCGTGCCAAAATATAAAGCTATAGTAATTATTATTATATTTATGTAACATATTTAAAACAATGCATTTAATAAAATTATATTACACTTTATAAAACCAACCATTATTATGAAAGCTGATTACATGAAATCACATTTAAGTTGAATGAAACTTGTTTAACCGTTTAAAACCTATTTTTCTTAGACAAATACAATTTAAATTGCAAAACAAACAAAAAATTCAATAATTCTTTGATCCCATTATCAGCTAAATTGTTTACGCTTCGTGATTTAAAAACATTTGTTTTGCTTTAAAATATTTTCTTTGTTCAAAAACATCGTTATTTTCAAACATTTTTAAAAGCTAAACAATCTAATTATGTATTAATTATACACCGGATAAACATTTTATGATTTACGAATGCAATTATCTCTAGTGACTGGGTTAAATATAACTAATGTACAAAAACATAATAGTAATATGTTTTAAGATACATATTTTAATTTTTGAGCATTGCTATTTCTAAACTTCAACTTAACAGGATGGGAAAAAAGACTAAGTCGTAACCCACGCAGCACTTTGCAAATTGCCGGCAGTCCCCAAGAAAAGTACGCATGTGGCAGTCTGCATGTAAATGCTTAATACAAATATGTATGGCCCTGCTTAGGGGAAATATTAATTAAACAAATGACAGTGAAAGCCCCGACATTTATCCCAAGACGAGACTGTACCCAATTAGGGGGCTAGGAGGCCTCGCATAAAAATTATGTATTTCCTTGAGTAACATTCATGCAAATGAAAAATGCCCCCCAGGAAAGTGGAAGGGTTTTCTCCAATCCCTTATCTGTCCATAAACAGGCGCCACGCCCCTCGAATTCGGGGCGCACACGTTTCGCATACGGGTGCCCAAGTGTAAAGATTTATATGACAGCTAATAAATTTACAACACATGTAGCGCCCAGCAGATATTAGGAGATACGAGTATTTTTCGGTGACAAGCCAAGGCCTCGCACGTCTCGAGTTTTGAATGTTATTGAAGCGTGTTTTCGCAGGACGAAAAATAACAGCCTTGCAAATGTTTGCGCAGCCAGTCGAAGAGCACGTATGTGCGAACTGCGAACTGCGAAGCTGCAGTTGACATTTGACATTTGGAAGGCGACGGGCGGGGCAATGAGGGGGTGGTACAATAAGTGGGGGGTACCAAAGTGGGTGGGACAAAAAGTGGGAGGGAGATTGGGTGGGAGGGACGTGCAGACAAACTGTTTAGCACACGTGTCGAACGGAAACGGAAGCCAAAACTCTGCAGACAATCGGAAACTTCTGGAAAGTGACTAAAAAATATATTACCCAAGGGCAGTACTTATGATCTTCTAATAATTTTCTTGCTCTATATTTATTATGGTATAAATGGCTATAAATTATTTAGAATTTGTTACAATAATATTCTCAGCACTACAAGATTGTTGAGTTTGATCACACCTAAAAATATATTTGGTAATATCAGAAAAACATTCTTATATTAATGTTTTATTTATATCATTTTGGGCCATTTTAATTTAATCGATCTTACATGGTTTTGTCATAAAAGTTTTGTAAGGCTTGGCCCAAAATATTTGGGATTTAAAAAAATATAAGTTTTCTGACTTACTTTTTTAAAAACCTAAAAAAATTGGCCCATGCAACAAAGTTGGCTAATAGAAACCATATGTTTTGCCGGTAAGGCGTGCATTTTTACTTGAATATAAAAGTCTGGGCTTTCTAAAGTTTTTTATTACCACCAAGAGTAAAATTGACCAGAAGTTTTGAAGAAAATTTGTTAAGAAGAAGCTTATAGTTGTGCACTACTTTAAACAAGACGCCAAATCCATATAATGCGAACAATCAAAATACATTTCAGTCGTTATTGCTTGCTATATCTAGCTAATATTATTTAATAATTGATTAGCTCAACAGATATATTTCAAACCAAATTACTTTAATTAACAGATATCATGCAGTTATTCAGAAAATTATTTGTTATTTATGCATTTTGTGGACTACTTTGAGTCATAAATCTGAAATTTAATAAGTGAGCTCAGCAAAATTCTTAAATGCGAATTAATCAACAGTAAAACCAACTATCTTTAAGCTCCTCCCATTTTTGCACTCTCAAATTGTAAATTCTGGCCAACATTTGCCGAATTCAGTATCGTAAATCAAAAATTGTTCAGTGCCACGCCCACAGATATCAAAAATCAATTGCGATTGCAATTGCAAATGCATTCGGCACTTGATAGACTCCCCGCCGGGGGGTCAGAAGTGGAGCCCAGCCAACAAGAAAGATAAGCAAGGGAACAATTGAATAATTTATATGCAAATAAATAAAAGTACTTTCGGCACAAAGAGCTTTGGCAGAAAGCGAGCAAAAAAGCGTGTGAAATATATTCTCCGATCTGGCCACAAAAGGCGTGACACAGGAGTTGGCTTTTTTGGCGGCCTTCGAAGGCCCCACCTATTGGTCCGCCCACCCCATTTTCCAACCCACCATCACACCTCCCACTCCCCCCTACACCCCACAAAAGCTGTCGGCCTTTTCTGGTTTGGCTGAACGCTCGCTGCATGTCATTGTCAGGGGCTGCCAACTCTGCATTTGATATACGATGTGTTGGCAAGACGCCCAAGTTGCCGGCGGACCGCGGGCAGGGGGCGTGGCACTGCGAGACAAATGCAGCTGAACCGAAAATTGCATTTCCGCTTTGGAAATTGCGCAAACTTCCGCAGCAAGCGGGGGAAAAACCAAAAAAAAAATACAGGCAAACGTCGCCAGACAATTGGCAAAAATTTTCTATAAAAGTGTGAAATAGGCCGTCACCCCTTGGCCCCCAAAAAAAGCGGGGGGGCTACTGGGTGGTGGGTGGTGGGTGGTGCAGTGGAAGCTGACATGCCGTAAAGTGGCCCCACTGAACCACAGAAAACTTGTCACACAAAAATGAACGCAAAAATGTCAAAAGCACACAAAGATAAGGCGGGAAAAGCAGGAAACTCTGGGGGAATTGGCATAAGAACGAATGAATGAAACCGCAATTGCACGGAGAAGTGCCTTGGATATCGCAAAAAAGAGAAATCATTTTTTTAGTTGTACCAGAACCACTTTGTTAATTTTCCTTACCCTATTGCTGCAATTTAAAAAGTTCCCATAGCCCCTTAACCCCCCATAAATCCCAGGGTATAAATGATGGTTTCACTTGACAAGGGTTAGTTTCCGTGTCGCTTAACCCGCTAATGGCCGGAAATTCCTGCGGCTGGCAAATCGATCCTCCTAAAAAACCTCAAATAGGTAAAGGTAAGGCTAAGAGACCAGCAAATATTTGTGCCCCGACTTCGTCTAGACTGGGATTTCAACTTGCCATTGGCAGGCCAACAAATAGAATAAATTCTAACACTTACCAGGCGACAACCGCAAACAAACAGGAAACCAGCTGAAATTCTATTCAATCAGCAAAGATTCAAGTCGCCTGCACGTACTTACAAGGCAAACAATCATAACTTTGCTGCATTGTAAAAACTAAGCAGGGGGTAACAAAAGTCTGGAGAAAAACGTGAAAGCATGGGTTCCCTAGGAATGGCTTAAATGTGAAATCAAAAAGGTATTTTACAACGATCCAAAGTCTGTTAACAGAGACATTCGAGCTGTTAACGGATAGTTGGCCTAAAAGTATTCAACACAAAAAATTTGACTTAATACTTTCAAATGTAAAATAAAGTAAAACAACTTTTTATTTACAAAATTATTACTAAGATTTGCTTTACATCATAAAAAAAAAAATGATTGACATCAAAAGGCAAAATAATTCTATCAATAATTGTATCCAGAGCACAAAAACATTCTGGGGTAAATATTGGAGTTTGAAAATAAATAAGTTTGGGTTGTTTTGATGAAAACAACTCGTTGGTTAGTCAATTCAAATAATAATATATCAAATATGATATATAAAAAATATTAAAAATATATACAAGTAAACACGTTTAAGACCCTCTAAAATAAATAACCATGGGACAACACATTTGGGCACTTAAACCTTAAAAGTTGTACAAATTTAATTTTAAAAATTCATAAAATAAAAAACTTTTACCAAAAATGTTTGAAATTAGAGTGTGGCTATAACTTAATTACACTTTCTTATCTTCCATTCTCTTATATGAAAAAAGTTACCTTTGTAATGCACATCAATAAAACTACTAACGAAGTTCCCTTTGTAACCTTTGGCTTACCTTCATTGCCTTTTTCAACCTTATCCTCTGTTGAAGTATATACAACACATCCTCGAGATATTAAAAGGGGAAATATTTCATTCCGAACCAGCTCACAACTCGGCAACAATAAGAATACGCAATCAATGGCACCCCATTGCAATGAGGAAGTAAAAACTAATCAAAAACCTCAATTGCAATGCTGAAATAAATGCAGAAGCAAAATATTGGCAAGTCTGTGGGAGAAAGCACCGAAGAAGCAGACTTTATTGTATCCACAGCAACAACAATAATTAGAGCAAGTTGCATAGGTATTTAAGGAAGTAGAAGCAATAAATACCCTTGTAAACTGATGGTTTCTGCGTGCTACAAAAGTTAAATGGAAATGTTAATGTTTGTCTTGTACAAGAGCTTTTCCCAAGTTCTCTAGAATTTAGCCAGGAAGTTTGGCTTAGCTTTACATATTTACAACCTTAAGAGCTGCTAAACCAAATGGACATCTAATAAATAATAACTTTAGGGTATTATAAGAAGCTATTAGAAATTAAACTGGCCACTGACAATGTTAGCAGCAGATGACGGACTTCCCGCTGCGATTGAAAACGGAGTCTGATTTTGATGATAATAATCATAACCCAGATGAAAGCTATCCTGGTTGGGATATCCTTGCCGAGAGGATTATTATAGGCGGGCCAAGGAATTTCAATCAGTGGCGAAGACGATGGCAGCAACTTTGTGATTGCATAACTGC